TAAGCCCTCAGTCGTCATACAGGGATTAGTCAAAGCAAGGAAGGTTTCTCACCCCATCATCTGTACTTCTGAGCAATGTTTTTTGGGAACAAGGGTCAGTCACATGCTAAGAGGTTAGGGTCGTTAGCCTCAGCAGGGTTGTTAGACTGCTCCCTTCTACATCATAAACTCGACATTAGATTGTTTATTGGAGTTGGTATCAGGGATTATGGGTGTGCTAACACATCCATAGTTTATAAATCTCCAAACGCACGCGGCGTATGAGAATTCATTCACCTGAAGAAGTCTTAGGATGAGGACGGGAAACGTCGGGAAATCATTGCTAAGTACGTACACGATGATGGGTGAGTAATCCTTCCTTTACTATGGCTGTTATTCTCAAATAGTTGACCTGATAGAGCAAATTGATTGTGATATTCGGTACTCAAAGTTTTAACACATAATGTGGCACAAAATAAATCAATTCCGAATAGTTTTTACCTTTGGGTTGTGCCTGTACAAATAAATCAGGCCTCTACTCCCAGCTTGCAATACTCATTCTCTCTGGAACAGTCCAAGGAAAATTTTATCCACTTGTATTACCAAAGTAAAATCCATTCTGCAAGAAATTAATCCAAAAATGTGAATTTATCTTAGCGAAAAAAAGACAAAAAAAAGAGCACAGATGTTATTACTTTCCTTTTAACGGAACTTTTAGCTTTTGTTTTTCACCCAAACATCTGGTATCTACGTGTTCCTTAGCTCCTTATATTTCAAATGAGACTACTCCGAAAAGCTAGACACCATTTTTGGGTCTGCAAGAAGCTCCCAGTGAGTACAGCTAGCGCTGCTGTTGTGAGCATGGATCACTGTCTTTGTTGTGTTCCCTATTGTTTGCTTCTATTTCCGGGATTTTTGATTGACATGTCCTGTGTAGCCAATGAGAAAGCTTTTGAGCAAAAAAAAAAAAAAAAAATAAAATGGGGTGGGACAATGGTGTCCTGTCTTTGTGGCCTGTAGAATTGTGCGTAATGGCAGCCAAGACGCTCTTGAAGCTGCAATGAATTTACACCAAACATACCCCAACATTCATAAAAAATAACTTTGGCATTAAAAAAAAAAACACACATAGTTAGTAACTTATAAGTACCAATAATAAAAAAATATTGTTTTTATGATGATTAAATCGTCAGCTAAGATATTTGCTAAATGTGCCACTACTTGTTGAAAGGAGAAACTGCATAAAAACATACAACTTAGAAAGTCTGAAACTTTAGACAGTTGTTGTCACAACACAATGACCACAGGGTTTGAATAGTGTGAATTTCAATGAAGTATAGACTTGTTTTAGGCCTTTAGAAATTGAATTGCTAAAAAATTGGATATTTTCCCAAACTTCAAAAGGATGCAGAGGAAATGGGTATGACAACATTATTTTTAGTTGTTTTTTTTCATTAAACTTGAAGGCTCTAGCTTTAAAAATGATGCATCTCACAAGCATGTGAGATGAGATGTGTTTTTAAATAAGCAAAGGACATTTGGGTTATGCCAAACTTTTGTGCACAAGCCAAATTGGGGGGTGTTAAGAGGTTTAAATGACTGAGGGCGGGCTAGTAAAAAATTATATTATTAAAATAACAAAAAAAATAAATGGCACCTGGGCTTAGTTTGTACATGCCTGGTTTAGTGATACAGCTGGCATGTGACACATGCTCAAAGTAGCCACTCTTTTGGAAGAAAGGCAGATGGATTCCAGATAGCAGTTAAATATACAGATATCTATATTATAATTGTTCACTAAAAATATCAGTTCCTCTGGGGTCAGCCTCCTTCACAGATTGAGAATGTATTTGTGGACTAACTTTCAAAGGGCACACAGGAGACACATGTGCTTTGTGGTCTTTGTGGTTTCCACCTGCACAAATACAGTACCACATTCTTGCAGTTTTCATTCATCTGTGCGATACGTTTCATTAACCAAACGCCTCAAGAGAAAGAATGCAAAGAACCTTGAACGAATCATGTGTGCGTCTGTACTACAGCACATACATGTGAAATTGCATTTTCAAAAAAGTCAATCAGGGGAACAAACAAGGCCACCTCAGCACAGCCAACATCCTTCACATATTTCCTTTTATTTGAATTCTCCCCCCAAAAAATCCATGAAGCGTGGGTCTTTGCCAGTCCATTTATGTTAAATATGCAGCTTTTAATTGCACCATGAATTCCAGCTGACATTGAAATATAATTTTGTATTATTCAGTTCTTTTGAGCATAGAATATTTGAAACTGACATACCTTTTATGCATTTAAATGTTTGTCTTTCATACAACTGTACGGCAGGTTGTCTCCCCCTGGCCTATATTGTATGAGTTTGTTTTACAGTGGAAGAACACAGACTTTACAACATAAAACATAAAAACAATAACTTAAGCCAATACTTTTTCACTATATTCTTTATTCAGATGTTCTCCTGCATTTGTTATGTGATGTGTTGTACCACAAAACCATATTACAGAATACAACATGCCAATATAAATGACAAGATAACCCTTTAATCTAGTGCGGTGAATCATTTGTTAACAAAAACGTTTGTAGTAAAGATTACATTTAGAAATAAGTTTCTTGCGCTTTGTTGGATTTTCTGTAGAAAACGCTCTGATGAGAATGACATCTTTTTAGACACTCAAAGGAGCTTCTCACGTCATTATTCATTCACTCCATGCACTGTGGTGATGACCAACTACTGTAACCACAGCTGCCCTGGGACAGACTGACAGAAGCGAGGCAACCAGTATGTGCCATCAAGCCCTCCAACCACCACCAATCATTCACACACACATACCAGACTGCTTATGGGCAATGTGGGTGAAGTGTCTTTCCTAGGACACAGAGACAGTTTGGCAATTTAGAGCCACAGCTGCCCCACTGTGTTACCTTGTGTTCCCAGAGGTCTCCCATCACAGAACAAAGAAGGCCCTGCCCTGCTTAGCATCAGAGGTCTGAGGATTTAGCTTTCACATGCAGATATTGCTGCACAATAAAGGAAGAAAAGTTGAATGTTTCAGCTGGTGGTGGGTCAGATTATTGTTTCCAATGAAAAAGGTGAGACACGGCTCAAAAGGTTTGGGTAGAAGTGGTGTAGAACTATCATTATTTATAAAACAGGCGACATTCCACCAAAAAAAGACAAAATTAGAAAATAACACCAAACTATCTTTTAGACAATAAGTTAAACAATTATAATGAGGGTCTTGAATAGAAAATGTGTTCAGGGTAAATAACCTCGGACAGATGTAGATGGAGCCCGACTCATCAACCGGTCACACTAGATGGACTGGACATCGAAGTGGAATAGTCTTACAAATACCTGGGAGTCCACCTGGACCACAGACTGGACTGGTCAGCTCAGGCCAATGCTGTCTATAAGAAAGGTCAGAGCAGACTCTTCTTCCTGAGAAGACTGGAGCCCTTTGATGTGAGCAGTCAGATGTCGCACATAATTTACCAGTCTGTGGACGCTCGTGCTAGTGCGTGTTGGGGCGTCAGTCTGACCTCAGAGACAGTAACCGGCTCGACAGGCTGATCAGGAAATGTGTCTCTGTGATGGGGAGGAGTATGGACTCTGTGGGAGCTGTGAATGCAGGGCATCCTGGGTAACTCCAGACACCCTCTGCATGACACTATGGCCGTTCAGAGGAGTAATTGTAGCAACAGGCTCCTATCACTGCGCTGCCGATCGGAACGTTTTAAGAGATCCTTTGTTCCTTCAGCTGTCAGGCCTGGATGAGTTAAAAATGTGTACTGATGTTAGCCATGTTAGTTAGTTCAGTTTTTTTTTAAATACATTTTTATAATTGATGTACTTAATGTATGTGTAATATAAATGTGTTTTCAGCTGCTGAACACCTGAATTTCTTCCTACCTGGAATCAAAAAAGTATCTCTCTATTGCTCTCTATCTAGTATATTAAAAATGTATAATTATTTGTGGCACATGGGTTATCAAAGCTAATGGTATCAATCTGAGATTTGATGCTGTGATTGGAAATGTTTTTGGCTGGACGCAGCTGATCCTCTAGACCAAAACTAATTTACTCCACTCTCTCCACTATATTTTTTTATTTAAATGTTGATGTCCTTTCTGAATTTTGGTAGTACAATGAGCAGTGCAGATGAGCATTACTGAAAAGATAATGTTATGAAAATTACATCAGAAGCTTTACTTTACATCGAAGTTGCTCGGGGCCTATCCACTTTCCTTCACATCTGTCCTGTGACAATGCATTTCAATGGCCTATTGTCCTGGACCACTATCATTAGGAAAAGCACAGGACCACAGCCATACTCCATACAAGAAATGATCACGTATAATCAAACAGCATACACAAACGAGTCTTTAGCAAGAGATTTTCCAGCTATTAGGTGAAATTACACTCTTTGTATTCTGTGGCATTCATATAAATTGTGCCAAACCGCACATACTTCCCCCCAAAGCCCTTACAGGCCTTGACAGTGGTTCAGACAAACAACTTACATATGGTAGAGAGGACATGTTTTAATGAAATAATTTTTTTATTTTTCTTGCAAAATTCATGCACAAAGTATCATGTGTTTTTCAAAACAAGACAAGAAATCATCAAAATCCTAAACAGGTAAAATACTTGAACATTGAGAGTAGCTGCCTCTCAAAAAGGTTATAAAGATTCTTTCTGCTGTAAAGTTACTGTTCTGTAACAATGTATGGACCAAACTTAAACTTCACACTAATTCACTCTTGGATTTTCAGGATGACCATTCCAGATTTGGATGTAAGAATAATAGGACTAAACATGGAGTCCTGACTCTGAGAACCAGCAGGAGGTACAGTGTAGTAAGGGTGTGATGGTATCTTCATTTCAGGGCAGCTGTGGTCATCATCACTGTGTATGTTTGTGTGTCCACAAAAAGCACTATATAAAACCTATATATGATAACTCTAATCTCATAATGAAGAAAGCGCGTCCAGCAGTCCAAACTTTGATGGTAAGAGCTTCACTCATCAACCAAACCCCATGGCTTTTTATTCCCTTGTGTGTTTTATTCTTCACCTGAATTACAGTTTGGTGAGTTGTTGCCTTGATTCCTATTTTGGTAGAGGCACACCCTTGAAAAATGAGTATTCAATCAATCAATGTATCTATCAATGAGTTATGATAGTTAATTACTGAATTGTTTTGACCCACCAGACAATGAAATTTAGATATTCCAGGGCTTCTTTGTGAATTACCTTGTAATTGGAGAGAGGGCCTCCACAAAGTATTCACTAAAGAAGTACTTTTGCACACCTCACCATTTGTATTTACTTTGTGTTTGTCAAGCACAAAAAGTAATACATGTAAATAATTGTGTAAAGAAAATATCTGCATGTGTGTAGTTTGTCCTAAAGAGTCAAAATATGCATTTACTGAATAATACTTTCATTGAGTTTATGTGTAAAGGAACAGTTTCATAAAGAATATGTGAGCCCAGATCTACAGATTTGGTGTGGACATTTTCCATTCACATATGAACAGAATTGGGGCGGGACTACTGCCATTGAACACACTGAGATGAGAGACTGAGATGATGTGAGATCTGACTGTTTTACAACTATTATCATCCAATCAGTAACTCCTTTTATAGTAACTCAAACACAGAAAGTTTCAGGCAACAAAGTGCCTGAAACTCCTGCTCCAGCTCCTGCTTACCTTTTCAAAACAATATGTTAAAGCAGCATTCTTTCAACAGCTTCACAGTTATTACATAAAAAGAATACAGCCTTACTGTGTGGAGTTTGCATGTTCTCCCTGTGAGAGAACATGCAAACTCCATAGGTTTCCTCTGGATGCTCCGGCACCAAAAAAACATGTACACTAACATAGGTCAGCTCTCAGCTGAACTATAGCAATATAGAGGTCAATAACATAAATCACTATACTTTAATATAAGTAAATGATGCATAATTATAGTTTAAATAATCATTGTGTGGTCAAGTATCTCATCAAATATACTTACATTTATATTATTCATAAAACAGATTTGACACATTGACACAAATTAATTCAATAGCTCTCTGTCTCTCTCTCTCTTGTATGTACAGTACACCATGTGAAAGGGAGCTAAGCTTTCCAAGGCACTGGTCTTGTGTTACATGTTACATTTAAATCACGACCTTACAAAAATATGGTTTTGGAGCTGGTCAGGGAGCAATCATTCATAATTATAATAGAGCCACTTTAAAACCAACATTTCTTCCATTTAATTGTCGTTAAACGTTAAAAACAGCAAATACTTCACCTTGAATTTCACAATGAAACATATTAAAATCAAAACAAAGGAAGAATGCTCACCCATCATCTGTACTCCAGTTAGCAGGTTTCCCTCAAACTTGAAATCAATCATAGAATGGATTTAAAAAAGAGATATATGTGGTTGTGTGAATGTAAATTAATGGATACACACACACACACACACACATGCACACGTGCACGTGCACGCGCGCGCGCACACACACACACAAAATAATTGTTAATTTACTAAGAGATCCTTTATTTGTCCGACAGTTGTATCACAAGTGACAGAACAGGAACGAGGATAAGTGAACATTAAGTATAGCACAACTCTACACTTTTTATCTTAATAAAATAATCAGAATAAAATACTGTATGTTTTCGTGCAGGAATATAATTCTAAACATTTGCCATACAATTACATCTGTAAATACCATAGACCGTAAATACTCACCTAATTCTAAGGTGTTAACAGTTGAGAGCACCTTTATAGGTCCTCCATTCGGTTACAGCCACCTTTTTTCCCCTTGGACTTGGAATGATGTTCTAATTGTGTTGACACCGGTTGCTTCCAGCAGCAGCAGCAGCAGCAGCAGCAGCAGCAGCAGCACTCTGAGCTGTGGCTGTGGACCCTTGGGTGCTCGGGTGACGTCACCTCTGTCCCCGCCCCTGAGGCAAACTCGCTCGTCGCGTTCATTTCATTCCTGTTCTCATTCCGAGCATTCTTCACATCTCTGACAGTGCTCGAAGCCAACCTCCTGCTGCCCAGAAACTCCCGAGTAACTTACATTTTATACAAATACTTGGTCAAATCCCATCACTAAAAAGGGGCAATTTTGTCAGAGAGATCAGTGATCAGGTAAGTTTAGTTGCAGACTTGTCTTCGTGTAGTTGTAGCTTTGTCATATAAATTCAGGTGGTTTCTCTCAGTAGTGCGTTACTACAGTCACATGGCGCAGGGGGAACACGCCTGTGTCCAATGTCCAGCGCTCAGAGAGAAGGCTGCTTTCTTATCGCTCACGCAACTTTCACATTGCGATCATGTTTAACATTTCTGACATTTTTGTAAAGAAAGTCATTGTGTCATCGCCTTCCAAAGCCTTCTAGTGTTTTAACTAGTAAACACCGAACTGAGTGATCATAAGTCAAAGAGACTTTGACATATTGTGAAGAATGACCACTGACCATGCCGCTGTGTCCGCTCTGTGCAGCCGCTGCTGTGGACTGCTCCGGGATTTCCTCGGAGGATTTGCGGATCACCGCCTTGAATTCACCGCGGAGAGAAGAGACTTGTTGCTTCATCGACTTTCCTCCTTTTCTTTTCCCACAAACTTTTGCGTGAGTACAATGCTTGTATTATAGTGAGCACCAAAGCAGTGTCTGTGGCTCTGTGGTGAAACTCATGCGAAATACATTTGATTTGTTTTGGTTTATTGAAAAGTGCTTTTGACCACATTCGAAATGTCAGGTCAAACACATGTTTAATGCATCATAGGTTTATTCAGCTTCATTTTGGTCCATTATGCGATACCGAATATATGAAGTTTCCATCTTTGTTATTTTTTCTTTTCCTTGCCTTTGGGAAGTGCGTGCTCAGCTAAAACAGAGCAGCCCTGGAGCCAATCCCAGTGTGTCACAACTTTTACTCCCAATGATTTCAAGAGCAAGACTCGTAAACAGAACTAAACACTATAGTTGCAAATTTTACAAACATGCAGTTGTTGCAGTTGTGCTTTTGGGGCACTTGGATTTATACAATATAGTATCTGAAATATCCTTTGTTCTAAACTGACTTATATTGGGCAAATACAAATAATGACAGATTTGAAAAAATAATTTCCTCTAATGCTTTAACAAGTTGAGTTGATCTGTTTAACAGCATGCTGACCAAAGTTTATAATGTAGTGTTTGACTGATTTTCCCGACTTTTAGTGAGCTGCTGTCTTTGGCTCATGTGCTTTGTTACTGTAGATCCTGTTGGTTGGAGGTTTGCAGCTGCAGAGCTGTTATGTATGTGTGCAAAAAGTGAAGTACAAAGTTCCTAATGGAAAAACAAGGTTTGGAAGGGTAAAGGAAGAGTATCACTTTATTGTTTAGAAGTGGAGATAATGAGTTTCCTTTGTTTTCTTACAAAACCGAGGTTGATATGATATCACCAGGTTTCAAGGTTGTACATAGTGCAATGAGCCACTGGGTTTGTTAGCTTGCTTGGCATTTATATGAGTTATTTTGATTATTACACAAACAACAACTAAGTTATGTGAGACTCATATGTATATATATATATATATATATATATATATATATATATATATATATATATATATATATATGTATATACTCGGCCGGTCGGTGACAGGAAGAGTGGGGTGAAGTGTCTTGGGTCTTGGCCAAGGACACAACGACAGGAGACATCAGTGGGAGTCGGTGGAGAAGGTCTGGGGATAAGTATACAAAATATATGAACATTTATATTTTTGTTGTTATTATTATAAAAACACATGGAAACTTGATGATGTTTAGATAATTCATGAATTTTAGACACTGATGAGATCAGAGTAATGTTGTGATTCCCTGGACTGTACAGTGAGCGGGAGGGAAGTGCCCTGAGGTAACCCTGATGTTCCACTGAGCATCGCTGCAGCTTGTACCACCAAAAGCAACTCTCAGCTGCTGACGTCACCTGGTTCAATCTGTGGCAATAAAACCAGAGTCAGATCCGACATGTGCCTCAGCCCCATGTACAGTTACTCCACCATACTCGACTGTAGAGTGTCCACAGCTGCACCAGGTACGACTTGTGCAGAATGCTTTATTTACGTCATTTGATGAAAGACAATGAAGATGTTTTCATCTTTCAAAAGTCTGTTTTTGAATCTACTAATGTACGTTTCTTACTTATTTACTGACCTAAAGAAAACAATCATTTAGTACAACATAAAGGAACTCTGACGTCCTGATGTACTACATTTGGCAAAATCACTCCTGATTATTAACTCCAATGAAAAGAAATTCACTTTTATGCATGTTTCCCAAAAAATGAAATCGCAGCATTAAGTAGAAAGGCAGTGTACGGCCAGCTCTCAGAGCTGCTGAACTTAGCCACTGTGAGCTCATTTAGTGAACAGGGAATAATCTGTGTTCAAATGTGGGTTTTCAGTCATGTTGGCGCTGGACCGTTCTGTCCCAGAGATTTCATGTCCAGTTTTGTTATTGAAACTAATTTGTCTGAAGAGGCCCTCAATCAGCCAAGGCCTGAGCAGCTCAGGACAAAGATGCCAAAATAAAGTGAGTTCTAGCAGTGCTATACTTGTAGTACAGTATAGACATAGTTGGAGCTTAAGAAATATGTGTTCTTAAATTAAAATGGCACCACAACTAATACAAATAAACACTATAAAAGTAAAACATTTGATTTCTTTGTTCGGACAAATACTGAAATGAATGATTATTAATTATTATCATTATTATTATTGTCTATATTATCACATACTGAATAATAATTTTAAAAGATTGTATTAGGGAACATACATTAACATATAAGATTGAAGTGTGTTAAATTATTACAATTGAAAATATTTAGATTTTGTTTAATAATTGCTGCCTTTGCTGGTTGTGTATAAATATTTTGTGGCTCCAAAGAGCTATAAAAGTCAATTTCAGCTTCCATCAACAGAACACTTATAATGTCTCAAAAGGGTTGTATTCAGTGGCAAGGGACGTCCAAACTTTTGGAAACCCTTGCAAAAATTGTAATCTTGATGAATAAAAATAAAATAAAACAGGTTTCCTCAACCGTCTGGTGGATCACCTTTTGAGTCTATCGACTTGAAACTTGCAACTGAAATATACCTCTTTGTTGCATCTGACTTGGTTTTAGACACATCAAACTGCATCTATTAGTAAAGGTCTTAATTAACAAAAAAATAGGAATTCAAAAAGAACTTATAACACAGGATTTGTGTTATTAGTGTCCTACATCTTATAGAATAAAATAAAGTTTCTTCAAGGCCTGAATGTTAAAGGGATAAGTAAAGGTTAAATATAATAAAACACTGCTACTTTACACATAGTTTACAATAGTGCAGCAACACATAAAACAATACAACACCAATGCTTTCAGCTCTTTACTTCTACTATTGCCATGAGGTTGTAATCTATGAGGCAAAAGGACAGAGGCAAGAGAAGTGAACGAGGAGGTAAATGAGGAGCTCATCAGTGATTTGTTTGCTCCACACGCAGCAGTCGGCTCATAACTCTCCGCAGATCCACTATCTGACCTAGCGCTCTTTACAGCTTTAATTTCCTGAGCTTTATACGTTTGTACAACATGTATACAACTACACACCTCCTTGACACACACCAGGCCACTGCACTGCACAGAGCGGGCCGCAAAACCATGGCCACTACTGTAAATCTGAGACAAAAGTGAGAAAAAGGTCAAGTAGGGTTGTTTTAGCCACATATCTGGAGCTGCCCGGTCGAGCTGCTGCAGGTCTACCGAAAGCTGCTTCGACACAAACTCAAATCAATATAATTCTCTGTTACAAACAGAGATTGATCCAGAAACGCAGATGCAGAGCGGAGCTGCGATCAGTTCTCACACGACACACAGACCGTCTGGTGCAAAGAGCATGAAATACACACGACCAATAACACCATGCCCGGCAGATGTGTTTGAATTTTATATTGAAAAACATTATTGTGGCATATCACTAGCCATTAAAATATTTCAAAAACATGTATAAGATTCTTTTAGTTTTGTCAAATGTTTGTCGTTAATTAAACCAGTCCCTCTGCTTCTTTCTAAAGAGTGACTTTTCACCTTCATTTTTGCCTATTGGATTTTATTTACTGCATGCCTTAGCCTTACCTTGACAGGGAAAGCAGCATAAATATATTTGGTAATTTGAAATTTTCCAATACATAAAGGTCTTTAACCTGTGAAATAAAAGCAAACATCTCTTCTGTAAACAAGCTTCGCAAACACTTGACAAATGTGTTTTATTGAGAGAAGGCAAATAGATGTTGTGTTACTTTCAGAGGTTTTGTGCGCTTCCCTGGTCTGATATGCCCTGCTCAAATGTCATTGAGGTTGTAATTATGCAAAAGCAAGTAGTATATTTATTTGTGAGATGCTGAAAATGTTGAGTTTTCTGAAATAATATTGTAATTATGATTTTACACAGTGTGGCCTTAACTACAGCGGGCCATTATAGGGAGCACAAAAGTCATTCACGGAATCATTATTGCACCCTCTGAGATAGCGGCACAAAAGAACCCCACATGGAAAATTGCATTTGAGACCTCTCATCTGCTATTTCATTACCTTTCTCTGTCTGATGGTTGAAATGGGTTCTCTTAATTTAAGAAGCTAGATTCCTGCTTGGTGAGTGGTTTATGTAATCTCACAGTAAGTGTAATTTCCCATAATGCTGTGTCACAGCTACTACTCTGCTTGGCTACTGTCCCTCACTTATTCCACCTCAGGCCATCTTCACCTTGCATTTCACAAATAAGGCCATTTCTATGGTGCACAGTCAGTAAAGACATAAGTATGCAATTATTGTGTGCCACATGACTCTGAGGCCGCCCTTCATATCATCCTCTCACAGATTTAATTGGTTCAGATTCTGAAGCGCTAGGTACTGGCTACTTTGGCAACTCCTGATTATTCGCATTTAGTCTTGGATCTCTATGCACAAGAATTTGTTTTGACGGCACTGAACAAAATAAGCAGTAGATACCGTTAATGACAGACAACCGCATCATTAGTAAAGAATTCTAATTGTCAGACAAAAATAGGGCTATTCATTTTTTCTCTCTCTCACGCACGCACGCACGCACGCACGCACGCACGCACGCACGCACGCACGCACGCACGCACACACACACACACACACACACACACACACACACACACACACACACACACACACACACACACACACACACACCACATTAAGTTATTAAGAGTCTTAGAGACTTAAACCTTTCTCTAATATGTGTCATATTGGCAGCAGACTCTGACCCAGAACCTCCGCAGTCTCCTGTTAAAGATTCCCTTACCCACATATCAGCGAGGATGTGACAACCCAGCTCAGCTTGGATGAGGTCACAGAGGTCACAAAACCAAGATGCAAATGGTTAAAAGTTATTTGAACAGGAGTGTAAATAGTACAAGCAAAAGTGGATAAACGGTCGCAAAATAAAACAAGCACAGTACTTATAGATTATTATAATATGTATATTTAATAAATTATATACAAAGTCTAAAAGATTTTGCTTTGCTCAAAGTCCAGGACACAATGGTTCGGTGACAGGGAGACTTAGACCCTGTCCAGAGGGAGATGATTTCAGATGTAACAGAAAATATTCTTGTCTAATTGAGTTATGGGCTACATTGAGCCGGTGGATTCGCGCAGTGACACTTTCTGAAACCTGGTCCCAGAGTACACAAGTTTGAATCCTTCATATATGCAATATTTTGCGTTTACATCAAAATGTGACCTGGAATATGATGTTTACGGCAGGATCCATCGATCGGCTATTTGTCCATAAATATCTGTTTGAAGAATAATTCCATCAAAAATTATACATCCTATATTTATACATAATGTCCCTGCTTTGTTATAATGTTTTGTTCAGATATTCGATAACTCTAACTAGAAAGCATTTTTCCAAGAGGAGCATTTCCATTCCTTAAACAACTTCACAGATCCAGGTGCTGACTTGGTCCTCATTCGTTCCTTATCTCACTTCCGAGGATTACTGAAAAGTTTATAAAATTGTGCCCATTACTTTTTGAATTATATTTCTAAGTGGTTTTTATTTTGTTTGTATGTGTCAGTGTTGACAGTACGACCAGTTTTCTTATTGCTTCATTCAAATTGTCGGCATACATCACATAAAAGTAGTTCAATCTCGCAGCACAAACACTTTAGAGAGTGACTCATCAGTAAGTGTGGAGTGTTTAACCCCAAAACATAACACACACAGTAACAAAGGATTATGTCATTTAATATGCTATATTGTAGTAGTGTAGTGCTCTCTCGTTTAATGTTTGATAATCCTCACATCCGCACATTGTATTCAAGTGTAATTCCTTTGTTACCTCAGTAGTAAAGCAACAGCACGATGTGGCCTTTTAACAAAGAGAATTCATTATGTGTCTTTGGCCAGATCTGCTCAGTGCTGCAGCTCTTGACAGTTTGCCCTAGTGGCATTTGAAGGATGGGTCAAATGCAGAGGACAAATATCCCTATAAGGACAGAATCCTAACCTTCCTTTATCATCGAGAGCGAAGCAGCTAAATCTGTAGATCTTATGCAAATTAGCCATGTGCTTCATTGGGTTTAAAATGTAAACAACGTTTATTTCCTCTGCATTCCAGTCGTGTGGTCGACAAATTGGCGGCAAGTTACTTCCTCACTTTCCACTAGTTTGGGACTCTGAGCTGCTCGTGTCATATAGGATCAATTTAACATTTCAGTTTCTGACTTTCAGAGCATTATGGTCAGGCTCTGTCTTATATCAGTAATCTAATTCAGCCTTACACTCCTGCTGCTTCACACTGTGTTTCACAAACCCGCTTCCGGACCAGAGGAGACTGATCCTTTTGGCTATAGCTCTCGGGATTTGTAATTTATTTTCCAATCTTTTGTTGTTGTTGATATTCTATTGACTTTTTCAAAAGTTGACTTATGTAAGTTAATTGTACTGTGTTGACCTTGTAAATGTGTATGTACATTGTAATTTGTGTAATGATTGGAATGGTCTGTGAATGTCGCCGTATAAAACATACTTACTGTGAGCACAGTAAGTATGTTTTATACAGCGCCTTTATACAACTTTATACAGGGAAGGAATCATCTGTACTTCTAAGATGATTCCTTCATCTGTTCTGTTTTTCTTAACAGTTTTTGGGAAAACCTGTTAAGAAAAACAGAACAGAAACCTTACCTTTGCTTCAACTAATCCCTATACGACTGAGAGCTTACACAAATTTATACAGGAAAGGAAACATAAGGGCCCCCTCCGAGCTCCTTCCTAACTTAGTGCATTTTTTGACCAGTGCTTACTATGGCGTATTGATGCCAATGGCACGGACCCAGGCCATGAGTTTGCATCTAAAACACCGTAGGTAAGAAATTTGTATTTTTTTTTTTAATCTGATGTTTCTGTTAATATCCATTCAAGTTGATGAATGGATGGTTATTGTAAATTACATGCAACAGATTCCATTAATTTACCGGAATATGTAAATTGTATACATCAAACTTGGATGTTTTATTCTATATCATTTTCTTCCGCTTCATTCTGGAACATGAGAGTCCATGACCTAAGAGCCAATCAGGAGTAGCGCTTGTCTTCTCCACTTGCACTACTTCTAGCTAGAGCTGAAGTCGGGTGTAAAGGGCTCCTGTGTGGCCAGTTCATATCTGGATTCACAAAGACAATATAAGATAATTATCAGGATCATCAGACACAGCAGTAAACCATATTTTTAAAGCCTGAAATTATGAGTGTGACACAAGCTGATATAGATAATAATGGGAGTTTACTATTCAAACTCAGGCTGTGTTTAGTAAAACAGTCTCTGGTGGCAGCAGAGATGCCCAGACTTCCCTTCCATCCAGCGGGATCTGGAAGTGTTCCCAGGTCAGCTGAGAGACAGTCCCTCCAGTGTGTCCTGGGTTATTGCCAGAACACCTCTCCACCTGAGTGCTTTCCAAAAAAGAGGTCGGATGTTGTGGAGAAGCGGCTCTACTTTGAGCTTCAAGTAACTTTATTCAGATTAAATAATCCTGTTGGCTTCGGCATGCACTGGTGCGGTTGAAAAGCAGAGGTAGAGGCCAGGTTGGGGGAAAATACATTACATAAATATGTTCAGAATACTTCACAGGTTTATGTTGTATGCTGCTTGGTTTGTATGAAAATGTTACTACTTCTTCCACTTTGACTGAAATGAACAAATATGTCTACTGTAGTTGCAATGTGCAAGTATGCACAATATTCAAACTTGACTCACCAGTTTTCGGGGCACATTTTTAGTGGTTTATGAATCCTTTCTGCAGCATCAGCAGTCACCTCACAAAACACATATTCAGTCAAAGCCGTGCTCTCTCCGCTCTGGAAGATTTTTCCCAAACAGCTTGGTCCCCTCCCCCCTTTTCCTCAGAGTCCAGCCTGCTGGAAGAAACATACGCTAGTACCCACTTCCTGACAGATTTTGCAACTTGAATGGGATTGTTCACTGAGAGGAAGCAGTAGTCTGCTGTGAGAGGAGAGATTGAGAAAAGACAAATCTCACATACTCGTCAATAGAGTCTGTGGTGTATCTACGTACATTATGAATGTACCTGTTGAAACAGTAATGAAGGGAATGTTAAAAAATGTTCAGTCTTTACAAAACGTGAACCTTTGTATTTATAGAATGAAATGTTTCCGGCTTTTATTTCTTTTAATTTTGATGAATATGTCGCCTTGAACCCTATACACATAAAACCAATCAAAGACGGATGTTTTCTTCACAGACAGTGTGCTATGGCTTCTTTTTTACTATATAATCGTTTGAGACATACTAGGGCTCTCAAAAACAAAACAATGTTGACAACAATGAACAGAACAAGCCATGTTCCAGCTTCTTCCCTCTGGCAGAAGATATCGCTCTCTGAGATGTAGGACATCTCGTTACGCTAACAGTTTTTATCCACAAGCTGTTATCAGTGTGAAGCACTTTAATGATTTGCACTTGTTTTGAAACTGTTTTAGTCGATCGATTTCACAGTGACATTTGTTTAATTTTTGTCTTTTAATGTTGTTTTATGTCTGTATTTGTCTGTGCACACTGGAAACTTTAGCTAATGTATTCCAATGTGGTTTTTTTTTTACTGCAAATGGCAAATAAACTGAATCTGAATCTGAATCTGTTTGTATAATTACACCATTCACCAGATTTGTATAGACATACCCCCAGAATGTTGATTCTCATCTATTGTGTTAGTATAAAAACATTACAATTGACCCCATATTTAATGTTTTGCACCTTTGTGATCTTCAGGTCTGCCCCTAGTTTTCTCCAAGCGTAAGCTTGACGACCAACCGTCACCATTGATCCGAGCAGCTGGAGCGGGAGCGAGAGTCCTGCCGAGGACCTGGAGAGGATGAGCGACGCCGCAGACAAACCCACGGACAACGATGCAGAGGGAGTCTGGAGCCCAGACATAGAGCAGAGCTTCCAGGAGGCGCTGGCCATTTACCCCCCATGTGGACGCAGGAAGATAATACTGTCTGATGAAGGCAAAATGTATGGTGAGTACAGCTCTCATCTATGTGACTCATCTAAGTTGGGATAGCAGAGATGCACAGACCACCCTTTCCTCCAGCTCATCCAGAAGAATCCTGAGGCGTTCCCAGGTCAGCTGAAAGACCCTCCAGTGTGTCCTGGGTTATGGCCAGACACTCAAGGGTCTGGTCCAAGTCTGGTTCACTTCGCGCAAAAAGGCTTTAGTTGTGGATGCAAACCAAGTGAATATGTGTCCAAGAGACACAAGTCAGGATTACATCATTCAAAACCAACCCGTGATGCATTTTTCCCCCAAATTAAAAGTAAGTAAAAGTAAGTAAATCTGAACACAGAGAGGTCTTACCTGAGTCAGCAATTAATCTGAATCAGTTTGGGATGACCTTGGTTTTCTCACTTGTCATTTGTTGTACGTTGATCCATTAGTCAGAAGCAGATGGGACAGATGGGATATTTATTGTCTTTACTCTGTGACTGCCATCCAGTCTGTCAAGTAAAAGTGGAAGCATTTGCTAATTACCGCTGTTCTGTGATTAAAAAAAGTACACTTTAGGAGCTACTGTAGCTATGTTTTGTTTTTGTTTTTACAATAAAATTGAATAAATCTTATAAAACATAAACAAATAAAAACATTCACAAACACACAGAGAAAGAGTAACTCCACCACATGGATCTATTATAATAACTGAATAAGGTATTTCTAGCTTGTGGCTGAAGGACCCATGTGCTCTCAAGATTCTCGCGGTACTGCAGACTAAACAAGACTAATTTCACGTGGGCTACCCAGAAATTCTCACCCATAGAACTCAATGTAAACTAAAACGGCTCGACCTCAGCCGACAGAGAATCTTCAGCTTATATAAAGGTCAGATTTTGTGGGGATTTTAACTGTCCCTTGTAAGTAAGTAAGTAAGTAATCTTTATTTATATACCGCCTTTCACAGACCAGAGTCACAAAGCGGTTTACAATTGTTATTTTTGGGCACTTTTGGGATTTTTGTCATCCTGAACTTATTTTCTTTTTAAATACTTTTTCTTTAAATCCACACTTTAGTGCCACAAACTCTGCTTGTTTTCTTCATGCTCAGGCTCTGCTTTAGCTCTGGTCAGATCAGCAGCTCTGATTGGCCAGAGCGCGGCCGAGCCCCTCTGTGCACGTGCTTGAGAGCCACACATGCGTTTTTGGCGCAATGCATCATGGGAGCTTGTCCACTGCGCAGGACCGGGAGGACCAGACAATGCCCAAATATGGGTTTTGCTAATCTCTCAGTCCCCATGGCTGTCCCAGTGGCTACTGAGCACAAGCCATTGATTAGAATAGGGCGCCATCTTGGATGGCCAGGGGTTACTCCACCATGACAAAGTGCAGATCATGTCTGGATTGGAGAAAGGTCTAAATGGCACTAAGTAAGTTAAGTGTAAAAAGGTGGAGTGTATCTGTTGGTGGTACGGGTCTTTCAAAGAACAAAGCACAAACATGTCTGAAATCCACATTTGGAATGTCTGATCTCCTTCTCAGCTATGTACATATGCCTTTCCCAAAATATGAGAATATACCGTATTCGAGGGAATGACACCTTTTAATCCAATTGAGTACCATCGAAAAACTTTAACAATGGGTGTGGCTGAAGTGGGCTTCTGTGCTTCTCCGAAGGTTTTCATATTCTTGAATGTAAATAAAAGAAAAATGATGATGACTGTAAAAGGAATTGATGCAAAAGTCCTCAAAACCTAATTTTGTTTTGTTTTACACATTGATATAAAATCATATAAACGTACTGTATTATGAAGGATCATCTCTTTTCAGAATGAACAACGTTCAATACATCGATCACGATTGTATCACCGGCACATAAATGCGAAGTACATTACAGCTCAATGGTTGCTGTAAAAGTAGTTCTTGGTTTGATAAAGCATGAGCACCCCTGACCTACAGTAGAAATGCATAAACACATGGGACAGAGGTCAGTGTATGTACACCATGCGTGCTAACCCTGGTATAGTGGGGCAGACAAAATCAACACAAAAATCTCTCATGGCATCTGAGTTGGAGGTTGGCCACAAGGAGACAGGTATTTTGTGGCGGAGAGACCCTGGGGACGGCATTGTGTTCCATACACAGCTCATCATAAGAGGAGCCGCCCTGAGTGCCCTTAAGCCCTTTGTTATCCCGGGCTAGAGTGCAGTTAATTAGCAACCATCTCTATAGCAACGGTGTGTGCTACAAAACAATTTGTAATTTCTGCTTCTTGGTTTATTGTGGTGTTTACCTGCAATGCTCGTGCACCAGATTCTGCATCAGGAGAGATACATGTTCATAAGAAAAATCAAACTCAACACTGAGCCTTAAGTCAATGGCTCAAGACTGTGGCAAAATGCACCTGCTGTGCTCGGCTGCATTCATTTATGTAGAAATGGAGTTGATAAATGAAACAACACGCCTCAGACAGATTGTTTATTCCTAGCCTCATGTATTTGCACTAACCTTGCAAGTTAAATATTTGTGATTTATAAAATTATAAATGTGTTAAGATGGCGTTTGTAATTTTCTATTATATATATATTATTTATATATAAAGATGTTTTGAGTTATCTAATGGACATGCTGCTCCTCATTTTCTGAATTTGTCGGTTGTCCTACATACAGTATATATATGTGCATATATGTATATATATAAATACATGTTTTATTTATTTATTTTTTCCTAAATCTCACATCTCACAATCTTACATAGAGCAGCTTGGTAACCCTAACCAAATTCCTATTTTACACCCATTTTGTTGTGATCCAGCCATTTTCCCAGTGAAATGCAAAGCTGTGACATAGTGACTGTATAGTTTGGTACAAAGCTGTTTATTGTTGCCTGCATTGCTCCTGTGCCGTCTCATCAGTGCCCCGGCACAGAGCCCTCTAAGTGGTACTTGGTTTGCACAGATGCCACAGATAAGTTAGGTGTAATGAGCAGACCTGTGCTGCTCCGGGGCTTGTCTCTTTGGGCTGAGCGCGCTCCAAGTCAGAGCGCCTGGACCACACGCTCCCTGCTGCGCTGATAATGAGGAATTCTGGGATCGGCTCAGGCTCCTCAGTCACCTGCATTCACTCAGAAGACTGTGAGGAACTTCATAGCAGGAGAGGCATCACACTCCTCCAGAATAATCCCTCATTTGTTCCCCTGCTATTGTCAAGCTAACACTAGAGCTTTTTCACACACATGGTGGTACAAAAGTCCAATTATTTTATTTTTCTTAAAGCAGTGTCTTACAAAAGTGTAAATAGTATTTATGCAGGTGATTGGATGATTAATGTCATTGTGAACTTGAAAAAGTTATTATATGTTTTTTGTATTTTGAAAAAAATCAAACATTCAATTACTATTATAAATTAATGATATTGTGTTCTTCGTTTTTTATTTTTTTCAGTCACTAAAAATAACAAATTTCTTACAAATGGATTTGTAAAATTGAATTGAATTGAATTCAATTCTGTAATTGAGACCAACTGCTCCTGACGTAAGCCTTAGTGGCATCAGGTCAAACGCAGAGGACAAATTTTGCACATTTACATTTCAATATTTTTCCCTTTCATGCGTGTTTTTGTCTGAAAATCTAGCAATTTGAAAACTGCTGGGAGAAAAATTATGTTGACTCTAATAATAGCAATTCACACAATATAATTATAAGAATTATACTTAATGTATTAACACAAACAGTACAATGATTTAAAAGATCAAAACAATTTTTTACTATTTCAAAGATCAATAAAGTATAATGTAGTAATGTAAGGAGCAGAATACATACTGATACTCTTAATTACTCCTCTAGATTGGATTTTCTTTTTGCAACTTAAGAAATGCACAAAATCTTCTTTTTAATCATTTGATTAGTATTCATTTTAAGCTCATTATGCAGGATGAGCTAAACGATACACATAGGTATATATATATGTGTATATATATATATATATATATATATATATATATATACCTGTTTCCCACTTAGACCTTGGGGTTTCCAGCCCATACTCTGCACAGATGTTTCTGTACACTATGCCAGCCACTTGGTTATGGCGTTCCATGTAGGCCTTCCCTGCCAGCATCTTGCACCCTGCAGTTATGTGTTGGATCGTCTCAGGTGCCTCTTTGCACAACCGACACCTTGGGTCTTGTCTGGTGTGGTATATCTGGGCCTCTATCGCTCTGGTGCTCAGTGCCTGTTCCTGTGCAGCCATGTTGAGTGCCTCTGTGCTGTCCTGTAGGCCAGCCCTTTCTAGCCATTGGAAGGACTTCTTGAGATCAGCCACTTCTGTTATGCTCGGGTGGTACATGCCGTGTAGGGGCTTGTCCTCCCATGATGGGCTCTCCTCCAGCACCTCCTCATCTTGCCACTGTCTGTTTTGGCCTTCTCCATGATGTAGTTATGGAGTTTGGATGTTTCGTCCTGGACAGTGGCTCTCACACTCACTAGTCCTCTGCGTCCTTCTTTACGGCTTGCATACAGTCTCAGGGTGCTGGATTTGGGGTGGAACCCACCATGCATAGTGAGGAGCTTTCGGGTTTCTGTGGTCTGAATCTCATCTATTGGCCTCCTGATTATTCCTCCAGGATATCTGTCACTGACAGGACGTATAGCTGTTAATTGCCCGGGCCTTGATTTTACCAGTGAGTCGGCTTCTTAGGACCTCCCTCACTCTCTGGAGGTATTTGGCAGTTGCCGCTTTCCTTCTTGCCTGTTCGAGGTTGCCATTTGCCTGTGGTATACCAAGATACTTGAAGCTTTCCTCAATGTCTGCTATTGTTCCCTCTTTGAGTGAGATCCCTTCTGTGTGGCACTATTTAGATACGGAACGGTCACATAGCTTTTTACAAACAAACTAGGCCAACTGGCCCAGATCGTCGCCACAGGGATGTGAAGACAAGCATAGATCGCATTATTTGCAGTCAGAGTCAATGTGAACAAGGGAAGTTAGTTCTGTAAACATTTCTATTTGTGCTGTTATTCTATTTAAGAT